ATTTGCCATTTATTCACCCAACTCACTAAATGATCTAAATCCTTTTGTAAGTCAGCAGCATCCTCTTTGCAGCTAGCAACACCCAATACCTTAACATCATCAGCAAATTTAAGCAACTTATTGACCATTCCTTCATCTAAGTCATTGATGTAAATCAAAAATTGCAAATGTCCTAAGACTGATTGATACTTTTAATACAATATTTAATTATAAAAAAACAAGATAAAAAATCCTTGTCATAAATCCAAGCTTCAATTGAACCTAGTCATGTCCTTGGAAAAATTAAACTTTGTTCACAGAGTTATATTCACCTGTTGCACTGCCCAGGGCATGCTAAGAAGTGTGGTTCCCATCATCGTGTTCCAAATCGAGAAACTAACACAAGAAAATGAGTTTTAAAATACATCACTATAATTATACATAACACAAGAAACTGTTATTTGATTAACTGTCCTAACAATATGTTATTATATATTTTTATTATCTTTACCATTTTTGGGGATATATAGTGAATTACTATAAAAATTGAAAAAATTTAATAATTTTACTTGTCAAGATGAATTATTAACTCTCTCTCACTAAAGGCTTGGTTGATTTGACCTAAAAATTTACCTTTAGAGTTTCCATGCTATAACTTTTAACAAGTTTTTTTTTAAAAATTCATGAATTTTTGCAAGCATTCAGTAAGCATTAAGTCATTTATAGACAAAAAAAAAGAAGAAAATCAGTATTTTCACTATACATTTCTCCATTAATATATGCTCTGAGCACAAAGTGATTTTATGTCAAGACTGAAAATAACTTTATTCATCTGAAAAATTTCAAATTTCATTTGTGTAGTCTCTAGCACCCACTAAATAAATTTCAAAAGTTTATCAGTAAAACTCTGTTTTATCTATTATTTTCTTTACACTAACTCCATACGAGGTTGGTAAAATTGACCGACCTCATAACTACACAAAAACGTTCAAATTAAATCTAAATTACCTTTTTCTTTCTAGAACGACTTCAAATTGTAACATGAAACACTTGTTTATCCTAAATAGCTTTAGATTCATAACAGTGTACATCTGTTTATACTTACATTATATTGTTTTTTGCTCTTTGAACTGTGTAGCTAATAATAAAACTGAATATTCCTGCCATAGAAGCTGTAAAATAAATTGGCAAACATCTAGCTCACATTACTTTATCGAATTACATAATGCATTGGCTACTCGAGAGTTGCTCGCAAGTATACCTCACGAAACCCTTCTATTGTTATTATTAATTTTAATTAATCTAACCTAAAAATTTCCAATTTTTACATTTTAGTTACTAATATAATAATAAATAAATAAATAAAGAATACACAGGAAAAACAAGAAATATATTACTTACATGGGTCTTTTTTTTTCTGTCAATGAGACTTAACCCTACTTTTGTATACTAATGGTACTAATGCACGAAATAATTTTTAATTAAATTAAATAATGCAACATAGAATACAAGAATAACATACAAAAAGCATACAATGTCCTATAACTATCAACATTTTCCTGGGTTTCTAACTATGTGACAAGAACCTTTAAATATTCAGCTAAGCTTGTTAATGTGTTTCCCATGGGAATAAAGGCTGAACTGGAAACAAGACAGACAATTCCCTGTACATAAAACAATGTTATATAATATGTAATTTGATAGATTAAAATTGACTTTCTATTGGTTATAAACAATATAGTATTAAACATCAGAGAGAACTATTGGCAATTTCTGAAAGAGAGAATGTGACAGGTGAGTGTGACAAGAGTGTGATTTTCTATTTATGGCTCTGTAACTAAAAAAGATCAAAGGCTATAAAAATTATGCTTTGCCTGAGCAGTGATGACATTATAATGAGTAACTTGCATTAAATTTTATAGTTCTCAGAGGGGTGGTAAATAAATTAGAGAAGAAAGGAACTTAAAACTTACATAATATTAAAATTTGGATTTTTAGCTATATCTTTATGCCAAGTTTATTTGTATACCATGACAAGAAAAGTACCTTAGATCTTGAATATAACTCACTAAAACCTTGTGACATGAACAGAAAAAGATGCCTATAGCAAGAGGGTTAATACATACATACATACATATAGGTGTTATCAACTGCATTAATGTTACATTATATGAATAAGTGATATTGTTAAAAGTAAAGCTATCATAATAAATATAATCTTGAAATTAAATTATTAGTAAACTTAATATCATTTATTTTTGGTAACAAATATATTGTACATAGTCCGTACAAGTTATATTTGTAATAAATGAACACAATATTGTGTGTAGTGTAGCAGCTAGTGAAAAACCACAGTAAGCAGAATAAACTCTCAGCCTTCTAAGAGTTTGTTCCATTTGCTGTAGTTTTTCAGTAAGTTATATTAAAAAGATTTTGAATCCACACCATGTCATTAAAGTCCATATCATCATTCCATAATTCATCTGACACATGAATACAAATGTTCCCTGTACCTGTTTCAACAGTCAAATTACATAGAAATCTATAGTTGTTATATCCAGTGTCAAGTTACCAGCCAGAGCATCTATGATCTTGTGTCTGATCAAACTGTTGTAATGAGTACTGGGAAACTGTCATACTCATAAACAGAAAAATTATGAAAAACATGAAGTGCTTTGAAAATGATAGCTTTACAAGGAAGCTTTTTGCAATGGAATTTACACTGTAGAGATACTTTCAAGATGTACATGCTCAACAGTTGGAGCATGACTGGATGTGAAGACATGGCTGTAGCAACACAGTAAGATTCCAAAATATTTTTAATATAGTGTACTCAACCTGTTTTAATTTCTGTATATATATATATATATATTTATTACCAACCTACTTTTGTTGTGCCAAATACTTACATGGTAACGATGCTATTTTGTTTGCCGACAATCTTTCTAAATGGAAAAGGGTAAAAGAAATATGATGGCACCACATGGTCTGGAATTTTCTGAAAAATTAAACATTTCTGTAAAATTATCATATTACGACCTAAAGAATAAAGCATAGCAACTTTGTATATTAAAACTGTAAATGACTATTATCTGTTTTCATGGTAATAACTGCAGGTTGACAGGTATGACGATGTAAAAAAACAAATTGACAGGTATAAATGTGAAAAAAATGGGTCAACTGGTATGACGATACCAAAAAAAAAAAAAACACTCATTTTTGCAATATTTAAGTAAACACTGATAACAATGCCATTGGATATTTCCACTTCTACAGACACATCTTTATGAATAGAGCCTTGTTAAACAAAAGTCAAAAAAGTTGAAATGAGACCAATTCATGAAAGGAACAACTAGCAATGTAAAGATCTACTTTCATCTATGAAATTTAATTATCTCATGACACCAGTCAGTGCCCTACACAGAAAATCTGGACTCTGGTGCTACCCCAGTCCTCAAATTCCTACCCCATTGATCAAAGTGTACCTTTCCAAATGTAATCATACCATTTTATTTATGCCTCTTTTCCAACCCCACCCCTATCACTAATATTTAAAGTTGCTATAATACAGAAGACATGAAAACAATTTTGGTAAGAATAATATCATTGAAATACATATCAACAAGCTGTAAAACAGTAGACTGAAAAAGAATTTAGGTCCATTTTTCAGCCCTGTGATGCACGATATAATATATTCTTCACTTGTTGTCAGACATTATGAAAGGCACAATTGTTTTTTTTTGTTCTTTTTTTATCATGTGTAAGATACTTCCAGTGTGTGTGTGTGTGTGTGTGTGTGTGTGTGTGTGTTTCTTTTTCTCTTCTTTCCTTCTTGCCCCCCCCCCAGGGTCCCAGGTATCAAAACATGGGTATCAAAACCCACTTTTTTAGAGCTATGATCCTAGATAAGACCACAAGACAGTTACAGTTTAAAGAGTAACTTGTTGAAAAATCTCAAAAGAGAAAAAGAGATTAAAGACAGTCATATAGTTATAAGAACTTAAAAATGACCAACTAATTTAACACTTTATTCACTACATCTACTACAGAACTCGCATTAAACATATGGTTCTCAAACTCTCAGTTCTATCTAAAAACAAACCTTGCTTCAGTCGTATCAAAAAACTACTTACAACCAGGCTAAACACACACTCGCACAACAGTCAGGTTAAGCCTAGTACATTTTAAAATTAAACTATTTAGCACCCACTAACACAACAGCCAGATTAAGCATGTACTAGTTAAATGGGTTCATTTTAAACACCCAATTACATAAAAGCTAGGTTAAGCATGTACTTAGAGTCTAGCTAAATAGTTTAACTTACCAGTGTTTCCAGAGAAGGATCTGCTAGCTTGCTGTAATAACGATGTCGTGAAAGAGTTGCCGATACTTCAATGCTCTGATCCTCATTAATGCTACCAAGGTTGCTTGCCGAAGGGTAATGGAATGGTCTTCTGTTTTGAAAAAAATACAAAACTCTGGCTGTTAATTAATATTTGAAAATACAAACTTTACTGTTGAGGTAACATTTTAAACTGTTAAAGTTAATATACAAGCAGTAACCTAGCCTCAACTTCTGAAAGGTATGAAGTCCTGATGTCCTCCACGTATAACTTAAAATTTATTGTAAGAAGAAGAGATACTTTTTGAAAATAAAAGTTTTGGATTGAATAGTGCCATTTGTGATACTGTTAGTTTATCAGTTTGACTTTTTTTTTACTTTGCACTGCTTCTAAAAACTTCTCTACTGAAAAAAAGCTTTCTTCAAATGTGTACAAACTTTTTCCTCTCACATGCACAACATAAATACTAGTCACAAGGTTAAATACTCACTAAAGTTCTAAATAACATTTAAGGACAACAAAGGACCTGTTAATCCATCTAGGCTGTCCTATCCATTAAACTATTTAAAAAACTCAAATTCAGCCCTTATCATTCAAATATTTATAAAGTTTTCCCTCTCTAATTGAACTAAGTACCTTTGTACAGGCTGTGGATACAATCCTCGCTGCACCTTTTCAACAGAGTTAGATCCTAACAATGGTCCTTCAGAACTTTTCTCCATCGAATCATATTTGTTGCTGCTGCTCAACAAAAGTGGGGTGTTGTCCTCTACTTTCAAATCCATAACAAAGTCCTAAGCATAGACTTTTATTGAATTTTTACTTCATGATTTGGAAATTATTAAATGTTTAGTAATATAAGAGTCCTTAATTTATATATTTTAAAACACTGCAAACTGTAATTTATATGAAAAAAGGTTCCTACTCTCAAATACAGCACTGGAACAGTAACAGAAATGACAACTAACAAATCTATTGTACTAGCTAATTTACTATCTATAAGAAACTGATTACATTTAATATTATTTTATTGCTGATTTATTTATTACAAAACTTGTAATAATTATCACTTTTAAAATAATTAACTTTTAAAACTCTTGTTATGAAAACTAAATAATCATTAAATATTAAATCACTAAATAAACTAAATAATAACTCTTAAACTAAACAGTCTTGTATATTCAACACACAAGTGGACAGTCTTTACTTTACACGTGAACACACCTTACCATCAAACTGACTTCATTTCAGACATTTATTTAGTGAAAAACCTTTAGTAACACTTGATATTTTGTGTAATAAAAGCTTGCCCCATTTCATGAAGATAAATTACATATATTTTGATCTATAGCGAATATCATTTTTCCAATATGTGGACCAACTCCATACACATTCACTCAAACCTACTAATCTATGTGCATTAAGGAAAAAACTATAAAGAGAAATCAGTCCAGGTCCTCATCACCAATACTTTCAACTGATAAACTATTCCTGAACCTTGCAAAAAAAAAACAAAAAACAATTGAAAGTTTAAATTGACTCCTGAATATCCAGGAAAAAACAACAACAACAATGTATACCAATTTCTGGACCCAGTGAGGAAAAGAACAAGAAGAAAACAAGGTATATCAGTTTCTGAACCCAATGAGGAAAAAACAACAAAAAATGTATATCCTGCAAGAGAAAAAATAAAAGAAAAAGAGGTTCAACTAATCCTAGAGCCTCTTGAGATGGGTATATTGATTCCTGGAGCTTCTGAGATGAGTATATATATATGTATATACTGGTTCCTGGACCTCATGAGAAGGTTACACTGCCAAAACTATCAGTCCAAACTCAGTATTCAAAAGTAACTGAGTATGTCTTGTCTCCAGACACTCCAGAACTTTAATAAGCTAATATATTTATTCCCCCTAACATGACATTAGCTCTATAAAAAAGTGTATTTTTTATAGATTAGTATACAGCTTAGGCATTTTTTTCATTTCTTTTACTTTGTTATTATCAATCGTATGAATATTTTGCTAAATAAAGACCTCAGAATTTTAATATCGATATAACCTAATCCATGCTAATTTATTAAGAGGTTTACCACCGTTAAAAACCAAAAAATTCTACAAGTGCCTGGAGTTTGGAAAGCCATCTTTTTAACGGATAACATACATATCATGTCATTACACTTACAATTTAGTTATTACATAACCTAGTTAACGTTATGTTATGATCTTTGTACTGTACTGTTGCAATAGTTATAAAACTTAACAGATATGTTAATAATATTAATAATAATTGTTTCACTTTAAAATATAGCCTTTGTTATAATGAGTACAGAACGCATTTACATTAAATATATCTCTTATCCAAGAACTTGCAATAAATAGGCTTTAAATTAATGATAACTTACCAAACACTACATAAACGTTAATCCGTCACCTTTACACTTAATCTTATAAAATACGTCTGTTCGTTCGAACTCAGCTGATCTCTTGGGAAAGGCGCGAGAATTAATTACCAGCAGTCACGTGACTGAACAATTTTATCAACCATCTTAATTACCTTTACCACCCTAATGCAGTCTTGCATAAACTTAAATACGCTAATTAAATTTATATTTAAAAATTAGTTGCATTCATATAATGTGAGTGTATGAGTATCACATGTATATTTATAATTTACGAAATATGAAAATCCACTTACGCAACTAGTGGCGCATAGACCTTGACTTTATTTTTTGTTGGTCTTTTTTTAACGTTTTTATTGGTCTTCGGCTGTGTTTCAGCTAATAGATACTACGCACAACTCCAAACATAACATTGATAGATTTACAATACTAATAAACAAATTAAATAACTAATAAGAAACATGTCTAATTAGAAGCAAATAGCCGATATTTTTTTATGTGTTTTGTACGTATTAAATGTAAATATTATAGATTTAAGCGTTCTATAACTTAATTAGAAACTGAATATATCTTTATGCAGGAAATAATCAGATAAATATTGCAAAATTTCAGTGAATGTGTTTTGTTCGTATCATGTACATAAAGACATTCCTTGATGCGAACATACACTTACATGTCAACATTGAACTGCTACACGCAGCCTTGAACGACATTAACTTCTAACAACCTGGTCAAAGGACAGTGTTGTAACAATTGTGTATGAGCACACGTTGATTTGTGTTTCTCAATGCCTGAAGGTTGTAATCAGTAGTCAAACGTTTTATATGAACCGGGAGTGCCGTAGCACCCCACTTTTAGATATTTGACTTATATAGCAATTGTAAATTATATTATTATATTAATTTTGTGGGAGACATGCCCCCAGACGTCCCTAAATTGAACTGTCTTTGGCACCACGAGAGCTGCTTTTAGCAGCTTCTTACACTTTTACTCTCTCATTGTAAAATCTGTATGTTTAGCAAAGCATCCCCACTCTACAACTCCTTCTTACACCACTGATATATATGTACTTAGGGATTATTAAAATCATTATTTGAACGCAATACAGGATTATTATTCAGACTAGGCACTTTTCGTGTTCTTACTTAGGGATTTTTTCAGGAAAAGGAAAACATCAAATCATTACACACTTCTTCAGGAGATTATTAGAAAACCGGGATTCCTTCCACGCTTACTTGGGCATGAAATTCAAACATTAAAATAACATTTAAAAATAGAATTTAATCAAATTGTTACCTCTCCGTTTGTTAATTAACTTTCCGTAACTTCGTTCCGACGAAACTTTAGCGACACAAGTCCTTACTTAATAAAACTGGTTTATTCTTTCCGAATATAGCTTTACGATACATTTAATTTCAACAATTGCGCTAAAA